ACTGTTTAGAGCAAAAGGCTGAGTCCACTTTTAGATTTGCCTGTATGGGGCAGGCCCTAACAAAAGTAGAAACTATAACTTTGCCTTTCTTGAGAGTCTATTTACCCGTGTATTGGCCAGCATGCTGAGCTTTTCAGCTGTACCATGCACTGTCGGTGGTAAAAACCATACAGGACATTATCTATAACAGTGCAGAAAAAGAAGGGGAAGGCAGGCAGGAAAGAAAGAAAGAAGGAAGAGGATGATAGTGAAAGTAAGTAGAGACAGAAGAAAAAACATCTGCATTTTTTATTATAACTGAGAAAAACAAACAAAACAAATGGATAAAAAGATGAAATGGTAAATGGTAAAAAAGGATAGAAATAATAAAAAAAACAGCAGAAAATAATAGTTAAGGGAAGAAGGAGTAAATAAGGTCTGATTAGGGTTAATACAGAAATCCAGGAATTAAGCCACTGTGTAAGCCACCTTGTGGACTTATCTCATTAATTTACTTCTCACAGTTATAAAGCTGCAGAAGGATAGCTATCTATAGTTCCGGAGCTCTGACACTGGACCTTCTGGTCTCAGCTCTTTTAACGGCAGAATCACATGCAACTGCTGTGCTCACCTCTTCCCTCTGCTGCCCATTCACAGAAGCCTTTGTATTTTGCAAAACTCATTCACAAAATACCAAGACATCTGTGAATGGGCAGTAAAGGGGAGAGAGGTGGGCAGAGATGCTGTGTGTGAGAACACAGGGTCTCTTTTCTCAGAGTGTAGTGATAGTTATTCTTCAGAAGCACTATAAAAATGTCAGATCTACTGTAAATTGAAGAGATAAGCCCAAGAGATGGCATGCACTCATAGTGTGCTTACAAATTTATCAAAGAGGCTGAATTCCTGGGGTTCTCCTTTAACTAAGGGTACATACGTGACTGATTAAAGGGGGTGCAGCTCAAAAAATGCATCAGCCATTTTGGGCATTTGCTATTGAAAGCCATTTATTTGTTGGTAGTGGTGATCTTTGGATGTTATGTGTTCCTATTCCTGTTGGTCAGAAGATATCTTTTTTTAAATGCCGATTGGTTTCTTATGTTTGTGGGTATTATTCATGCTTTATTTGTAATAAAAAATAGTACATGCTTCACAAGGCCAGTGTGTTTTTATGATTAAGGGTAAGTAGGAATTTTATTAGTTTTTATTTATTTTTATTATTTTTTCTTTAAAATATTTTTTTCTGCTTATTATGTTTCTTTGGCCACTTGCCTACCGGGCACTTATACCCCCTTCCTGCCCAGGCCAATTTTCAGCTTTCAGCGCTGTCGCACTTTGAATGACAATTGCACTGTCATGCAACACTGTACCTATATGAAAATGTTATCATTTTTTTCACACAAACAGAGCTTTCTTTTGGTGGTATTTACTCACCGCTGGGAGTTTTATTTTTTGCACTATAGACAAAAAAGCAAAAAATTTGAAAAAAAAAAAGTTTTTCTTTGTTTCTATTATAAAATTTTGCAAACAGGTAATTTTTCTCCTTCACTGATGTGCGTTGATGAGGCTACACTGATAGGCAGCACTGATGGGCACTGATAGGCGGCACTGATGGGCACTGATAGGCAGCAGTGATGGGCACTGATGAGGCAGCACTGATGGGGTGGAACTGACTGGCAGCACTGACTGACGGCACTGCTGGGTGGCACTTGTGGGCGGCACTGCTGGGCACCGATCATCAGTGCCCTGATGAGCGGTGCCGATCCCCCCTATGACAACTGCTGGTTCCTGGCAGTACTTTCCTCACGCTGTGACAGCGTGAGGAAATTGTGGCCGTTAACCAGCAGTTGCATTTCCCGGTGATCAATGTGTCATTGGACACGGCTGATCATGTGGTAAAAGACTGCTGTGATTGGCCTTTTACCATACCATGTGATCAGCTGTGTCCGTAGGGCACAGTGAACATGGAGAGCGCCGGGTACGCGCCCCCGGGGGCATGCAGGAGGATGCCATATGATGCCCTCCCAGAACTCGCCGGCTGCAGTGAAGCCGTCATTCGGCTATCTGTGGTCAGCAAGTAGTTAAAGCTGAATTTAACTTGGTCTGAGCACCACAAACCTAAAATGCTATTTAATTCATATTTATAATTTACAGCAAACTCATCCATCCATATCTCCATGCTTTATTTTGTATATAAATGTTTATAAATGTAACCCTAGCATTTCTAGTCACAGACATCTTGAGTAAGGGCAGATAATTTATGTAGCATTTACTTCCTGGAATCCAACTACCCTTAGCTCAGGCATGCAGGCAGGAGGGTGTGCTTAGCTGAGAAAACCACTCTTCCCCACATAGAGATGTAGCAAAAAAAAAGCACATGAAAACTCCTGGGATGTATGAGATAATTTTAGCCTAGGCCAGGAACCAGGAAGCAACTGAATAAATGTGGAAAGAAGAAAGTTTAAAAGTAAATTTAATATGCGTTCCAATCTATTTATTAATGCTAGCAGCACAAGGCTTAAAAATAGTTAATGTTGATTGAACGGGTAAAGTTCTGATGTCATATGTGGATCAAAGGTCACTCCTTTAAAGTACATATGAATGTAATAGTAAATGCAGTGTAACAATACATTATGTACTATGTACTACTCAATGACACTTGCAGACTATTTGCAATTGTCATTTTGCACAGGAGCCGCTTCATTTTCTCAGCCACTTCTCCTTCTGGAGCAGTGGATGCGGAATCAGGGTGAAGATATGTCCTAAAAACTTTTTTTAAAAAGTTCTTTAGCGTGTATCTCCAATACCTAAAATCATCTAATAGTTAGGCATTATTACACATGCTAAGTGAAATGTGGAAATACAATGCTACCATCATGAAATTAAAATCCCCCCCCCCCCCAGCTGATGAAGAATATATTGTTTGTTTTTCTGCGGATGATCTAAAACAGAATAACACTTACCTTATTCCCAGGATCTTTTTTTAGGATAATAAGAAAATTGATAGTTATGTTTATATGGGCTAATAAGAATCCAAGAATTTAGTATGAGGTTTTATGGAACAACAAAGAGAAAGAAGGATTAAATCTGCCAAATATGAGGAAGTATTACATGTTGGTGTTATTATCACGGGTGGTAGATAACTCACATGAGAAAAGTTGGGTAAAAATGGAAGGTATTTTAAGTAATGCACAATTAGAAAGGATTATCTGGATCCCACGAAAGTTTTGAGATGTAGATGAACATAGTAGTACACTGACACGGGAGGTGTTGAGAGTATGGGATGGGCTGCATAAGTCAATGGGCTGGAAGCACAATTCATTGTTGATGCCCCTGGTGGATACAGATTTTTTTTTCCCACCAGGGAATGATAATATTTCTGGGAAAAGGTTTAAAAAATAGAAATGCACGGTTAAGGGATACAGTAGATAAGGGGAAGTTATGTACCGTATTTTCCAGCGTATAAGGCGACTGGGTGTATAAGACGACCCCCTAATTTTCCAGTTAAAACATAGGTTTTGGGCTATACTCGCCGTATAAGACTACCCCCCTTCTGAGGCAACACTATTTAAAAACATCAGATTTTTAATTGAAATGGTTATGACTTACCGGTACTTACTATCCTTCAAAATCCTCATGTTCATCCTCTGACATCATAAGTTCATGAATGACATCTTGTGATACATTTGTAAGACAGTCCTCATATGGATCAAATTCTAAATCAGATGGTCACCGCGCTGGATGTGCGGTAATACGGTAGCTTCAGCTACATACAGTATATATACAGCCCGCTGGATGTGCAGTAATGTACATACAGTATACCATGCTGAGCCAAGCTGGCTCAAAACAAATGTCCCTATGACAGATTAATCTGTCAGCCCGCTGGATGTGCGGTATATACAGTATAATGAGTATATACCACTGTGGTATATATACAGTATACTGAGCCAAGCTGTTTCAAAACGTAGCGGTACGTCCCTACGGTAATCAGACCGCTGGATGTGTCTATGTACAGTAGCTGAGGCTACATACAGTATACGCTGGGCCAATCACGGCGAGCGATGTATTCTACTAATGAATACAAAGCCTGCTCGGATTGGCTGAGGTTGTGACATCATCAGCCCACCTCTCTGACTCAGCCAATCCAAGCAGGCTTTGTATTATTAGTAGAATACATCACTCGCCGTGATTGGCCCAGTGTATACTGTATGTAGCTGCAGCTACCGTACACACATGCATCCAGCGGGCTGATTACAGTAGGGACGTACCGGTACGTTTTGAAACCGCTTGGCTCATCGCAGAATACTGTATATACCGCACATCCAGCGGGCTCACAGATTAATCTGTCATAGGGACATTTGTTTTGAGCCAGCTTGGCTCAGCACGGTATACTGTATGTACAGTATTACCACACATCCAGCCAGCTTGACCCAAACAAACTCAAGGTTCACATTTTATACCCAGCGTATAAGACGACCCCCAATTTTTGGGATATATTTTTAAGTATAAAAAGTAGTCTTATACGCCAGAAAATACTGTATTTATACTGTATTATACTGTATAACTCCTCCATCTTATTTATATACTCGATCCTGTCTATCTAGTCCCTCATTGTTGGAGGGTCCCTTGCCTGCCAAAATTTGGGGATTAAACGTTTTGCGGCACTGATTAAGTAGTATAATATACTATTTTTATATTGTTTCACTGACACCTCTGTCCTATAGAATAGGCACACCCACATGTCCTTTTGAATAGTTATCCCCAGAATCTCCTGTATATATTGAATTATATCTTGCCAATACCCCTGTATTTGTAAACTCTTTTCAAGAGTTAAAGAGTAAAAAAGATTTATTTTATACATTAGATTAATTTAGATACTATCAATTAGGAAGAGGATGCCAGAGAACATGCTTCCATTTGAAAAAATGTTGAGTTCTGGGATAGTACATAAACATGTAACCTCTAGGATATACAAGATCCTTATCGAATGGATGGGATCTGAAGATCTGCTATTCTTAGAGAAATGGGAAAGAGAATTGGGTACAAAAATTAATTAGTAACAGAAGAATAAAATGTTTAAATTGATGCACAGGGTGGTGAATATGAACACAGTAGAAATTAACTTTAAATGTTTGACTAGGTGCAGGGGCGGACTGACCATTTGGAAACTTGGGCACTGCCTGAGGGCCCGGGGTCAGTAGGGGGCCCCATGAGATGCCCCTGGTACCTTTTTCATAGGCTTTTTTGAGTTTGGGCAAGGACACAGGGGCCCCATGATCCCATATTGCCCGGGGGCCCCATGAGTTGTCAGTCCGCCCCTGACTAGGTGGTATTTTACACTGAGTGTGGCACAAAAACAAAGAGAAGAAATTTCACCACTATGTTGGAGGGGATGTGGGGGAAGGGGGACAATGGCTCATATATGGTGGGAGTGTTTACAAATACAGGGGTATTGGCAAGATATAATTCAATATATACAGGAGATTCTGGGGATAACTATTCAAAAGGACATGTGGGTGTGCCTATTCTATAGGACAGAGGTGTCAGTGAAACAATATAAAAATAGTATATTATACTACTTAATCAGTGCCGCAAAACGTTTAATCCCCAAATTTTGGCAGGCAAGGGACCCTCCAACAATGAGGGACTAGATAGACAGGATCGAGTATATAAATAAGATGGAGGAGTTATAGCACATAGATGAAGATAGAATGGAAAATTTTAGAAAGGATTGGAGTAGGTGGTATGATTTTCAGACATCTGGAAAATACCTTGAAGCAATAGGTGCCCGGTAGTAGAGTTGGAGAATTAAACTGAATAAATGGACAGCCGCAAACTAAAGAGAGAATATAAGGCTTAGACAAACAGGATAGGAAAGAAATGGAAAGAATTATCTGGACAGGGGTAATTTATCGGGGAAGGAGGAATAAGGGGGGCAGGGGAATAGGGGTAAAGAAGGTATATGGATTGTATGTGTTTTGATAAATTATAATATAGTTGATCTATGTATTGAGATAAAATGTAATAAAAGACATTAATAATAATTGATAATAAAATAAAAAGTATTCTAAACTAATTTTTCCTGACTGGTGTTGTTGTTGTCTCTAGACAAAGTCATCATGTACAATTAGGATCAGCAGCTCATCCCTTCCTGATGACGTAGGAGTGCCTGCCTGAATTGACAGTAACAGGACCATGCAGTAATGTATGCAATCTTTTGTGCTAGATTATCCCCTAGAACAGGGGTCTCCAAATGTTGTAAACAAAGGGCCATTTATTGTACTTCAGACATTAGGGGGGCTGGACTGTGGGCCCCCAGGAGTAGAAAATGCCCCAGCATGAGTGGGAGTAAACAATGCCTCATACTTGGCAGTCAGTGGCAGTAAAAAAAAAAAAGAAAGAAAACATAGCGCCCTTAGTCAATAGGAGTGGGAATAGTGCCCCATCATTGGTATTAGAGGAATAGTGCCCCATTGTTTGTGTCACTGGGAGGAATAGTGCCCCATCATTGGTATTAGACGAATAGTGCCCCATCATTGGTGTCAGTGGGAGGAATAGTGTCCCATCATTGGTATTAGAGGAATATTGCCCCATCGTTTGTGTCACTGGGAAGAATAGTGCCCCATCATTGGTATTAGAGGAATAGTGCCCCATCGTTTGTGTCACTGGGAGGAATAATGCCCCATCATTGGTATTAGACGAATAGTGCCCCATCATTGGCGTCAGTGGGAGGAATAGTGTCCCATCATTGGTATTAGAGGAATAGTGCCCCATCGTTGGTGTCAGTGGGAGGAATAGTGCCCTATCGTTTGTGTCACTGGGAGGAATAGTGCCCCATCATTGGTATTAGAGGAATAGTGCCCCATCGTTTGTGTCACTGGGAGGAATAGTGCCCCATCATTGGTATTAGACGAATAGTGCCCCATCATTGGTATTAGACGAATAGTGCCCCATCATTGGTATTAGACGAATAGTGCCCCATCATTGGTATTAGACGAATAGTACCCCATCGTTTGTGTCACTGGGAGGAATAGTGTCCCATCAATGGTGTCATTGGGATGAACAGTGCTCCATCATTGCTGTCAATGGAAGGAGTAGGGCCCCATTGCTGGTTTCAATGGAAGGAATGGTGCCCCAAGGCCAGATAAAGGCAAGCAAAGGGATGCATTTAGCCTGCAGGCCACAGTTTCGACACCACTGCCCTAGAACTATAAGCAAAATATTCCTCAGCTGGGGTGGCAATGTCATTTATTTTATTACTGCCTAGAGGTTAGGCTGTAGGCTATAAGACTAGATTTGCTTTAACTATATGGATTACAGACCTGAATGGGACTTAGGGGAAGTACATTTTCCCCTCTGGTGTTTGACAGATAGCGATTAGGGCTTTGCATGGTGTCATTTTTTGTGTTATTTTTTATGGTTATTTAGTATGGAAATGCAATCTTTTTTTTTTCTATATGCCAATGATTATCCGTACTGCACAAGTTTTCTATCTATTTTTGTACCTGAACTTTATGAAGCAATTTTATCTTAAGTGAATGCGCCTCATGCAGCTTTTACTCTGGCATTTTCCTTTTGGGGGAAATGTATAATAATATTCAGCAAAGAAACCCACTGTGTTCCTACTAAACCTTTCCAAGTACTTACCGAATAAACAATGGCAGAAGCGCTCTGTCTCTGCTGACACATTATTCTGTTACAGGTAAGATCTGCCTGTCCCGCTGCTGCCATACCGCCAAGATCAATGCTCTATTCACAGCCGCTGCTTAATTACTGAACAACATGAATTCATCTTTAGCAACTGAGACAAGACAGTAACCAATTTTAATTGTAATTCAACAGCAAAAGTAAAATAAAATAAAAATATATGTACCATTATTACAGTAACAGCATTTCTGAAATATATAATTACTAAGAGTTCCCTTCAATAGAACTAGGGGGCCAAGCCCAACCCCTGAAAAACAACCCCACAGCATAATCCCCCCTTCACCAAACTTTACACTTATTTATTTATTTCAGGTACTTATATAGCGCCGTCAATTTACGCAGCGCTTTACATACATATATTGTACATTCACATCAGTCCCTAACCCTCAAGGGGTGTACAGTCTAAGGTCCCTAACTTACATTCATACATATACATACTAGGGACAATTTAGACAGGAGCCAATTGACTTACCAGCATGTCTTTGGAGTGTGGGAGGAAACTGGAGTACCCGGAGTAAACCAGCACAGCGAGAACATGTAAACTCCAGGCAGGTGGTGCCGGGGTTGGGATTCGAACCGACGACCCTAGTACTGCCATTTAGCCACTGTGCTGCCCTTTACACTTGACACAATGCAGTCAAGCAAGTATCGTTCTCTTGGCAATCCCAAACCCAGACACGCCCATCAGATTGTCAGACAGAGAATCGTAATTAGTAACTCTAGCGAACACGTCTCTACTGCTCTAGAGTCCGGTGGCGGCATACTTTACACCACTGCAACTGACGCTTTGCATTGCACTTGGCTATGTAAGGCTTGGATGCAGCTGCTCAGCCATGGAAACCCATTCCATGAAGCTCTCTACACACCATTGTTGTGCTAATCTGTAAGCCACTCAAAGTTTGGAGGTCTTTGGCTTTTGACTCTGCAGACAGTGGGCGACTTTGGCGCACTGTGAGCATCAGAATAAGCTGACACCATTCTGTAATTTTACGTGGCCTACCGCTTTGTGGCTGAGTTGCTGTTGTTCCCAGTTGCTGTGTTATAATACCAGTAACAGTTGGCCGTGGAATATTTAGTAGCCGGGAAATTTCACGGATGGACTTATTGCACAGGTGGCAACCAATCACGGGACCACACTTGAATTCACTGAATTAACTGAGCTCCTGAGAGCGACCCATTCTTTCACAAATGTTTGTAGAAGCAGTCTGCATGCCTAGGTGACGATTGTATACACCTGTGGCCATGGAGGGGATTGGAACACCTGAATCCAATGATCCAATGATTTGGAGGGTTGTCCCAATATTTTGGCAATATAGTGTACAAGCCTTAATTGCCTTTTGATTATATTGGTGATCTCTTTGTGCTGTGACTTTAGAGCTACACCATTGGGTGTTTGATCCTCATTTTAAAGATTGTGTTTGCAAGACTGCTGGTTATTTCTTGGCTACTTCTGGAGGTTTCTACCTGAGAGGCAGTAGCTTCATTTTGGCATTTTTAGATGCACCTTCTTGGGAGGGGCACATATTCATGTTGTAAATTCCAGTCAATCATATCCTTTGATATTTTCACAAAAAAACAAGAGTGGGTTTCAATGTATTGATTCTTTCACATGTGATCCTGAAAGATTCCTGAAACACGTTGAGCCTACATGTGAACTGTGTTTGATCCTCATTTTAAAGATTGTGTTTGCAAGACTGCTGGTTATTTCTTGGCTACTTCTGGAGGTTTCTACCTGAGAGGCAGTAGCACCATTTTGGCATTTTTAGATGCACCTTCTTGGGAGGGGCACATATTCATGTTGTAAATTCCAGTCAATCATATCCTTTGATATTTTCACAAAAAAACAAGAGTGGGTTCCAATGTATTGATTCTTTCACATGTGATCCTGAAAGATTCCCGAAACACGTTGAGCCTACATGTGAACTGTATATGGAATCTATGCATGTTGTGAACCTCTAAGTGGAAAGTGTTTTGTAAATGTTTTACATGGAATTAAATAAAATTGTTTTTGATACTCAGTTTTCTCATATGTGTCTACAAAAAAGTCCCATGACTACAAATGGTGTTATAATATATGTATTACACACAGAATGTAAGCAAAGCACACACAACCAGAGCTCACATAGACTATGCACAACACACAGAGCTCCCAAAAAGAGCATGCACAGTCAGAGAACATGCAGATAGACAACACAGATTGACTACATTCCCTCTTAGAACACTTAGAATATTGGGAACACCACATAGCACAGCCATTTGCACATCACAAGCAATTGTACTGTAAGGTACTTTAAGGACAGTGTTTTTAAGAATGCTAGGTATACTGCTTCAGCGTGTAATTATTGTATAAAGTAAACACAGTTCTGGTCAAAGAAGAAGTCTCCTGGGCTCAATTACTTGAAGGGTGGAAACAAGCATACTCAATAAGTGTATTCATGGTGTATCTGAAGAACTGGGGAACAGTAAGTAACAGTCATGGTTAACCCTCTGGGTTCTACAGTAGGGAGTGTACAACACAGTTATTCCTTGAGGTTATGGAGTGGAGTGTAACAAGAAGGAGAAGCAGCCAGCTGGGGAGAGGAAACAGTGGTGGCTAGCAATGAAGGTCCTGCAGATGGCTAGCAATGAAGGTCCTGCAGATGGCTAGCAATGAAGGTCCTGCAGATGGCTAGCAATGAAGGCCTGGCACTTGGCATTTCATGAGCAGTTGGGGTCTCCAACTTTAGACCCGCTGTGGAGTAGAACCCTCAGTGCTCTGTGCTACTTTCTTAAAATGACTTCATAGTCTAGATAGATAGGAATGGACTGATGTCACCGGCTATAGAGAAGGTGCAGTCTTTTTGTGTGTTTTGTGGGGATCTGAAATCTGGCCTCAAGCCTAAGAGTGTCACTAACCCATGTGAAATAAGTGTAACTGTGAAGATGCAAATGGCTTGTAATGTCCTAGTAGCCCCTAGGGGATGTTCTCTTTAACTTGCCAACAAGCTAGGGTTCTGTGAGATAAGAAAGTTATATCAGGGGCAGACTGACAACTCATGGGGCCCCTGGGCAATAGGGGATCATGGGGCCCCTGTATCCTTGCCCAAACTCAAAAAAGCCTATGAAAAAGGTACCAGGGGCATCACACGGGGCCCCCTACTGACCCCGGGCCCTCGGGCAGTGCCCGAGTTTCCAAATGGTCAGTCCGCCCCAGAATCAGGGGTTCCTCCAGTTGCACTACTATATGGAGGCAAGCATTAGAAATCCAGAGAACAACCGTGTAAGTATACTAATACAGCCATTTTTGATCATCATTACAGGGGCTTATATGTTGCTATCCAGATGGCCGTATTAAATTATAATATGGGCCTAGCCAAGGCACAACCATGATGTTATAGTCTTGGCCCACCCCTCATTTTTTCAGAAACCACACTAGAAACACTGCTTATGCAAGAATTATAAAACACTACCTAAATCACTTAACTTACATTTATAGCAGAACTTAGCAAAAAAGAAAAAAAAAGAAGCAAAACCAGCTCTTACTGCAATATTTAACGTCCATCCAGATATTTAATCCATTTTTGTAGCCAGTAGGTGTCCTCAATCTGATGGTCAGCATTGTTCAACTGACTTCCTTTGAGCCCAGGTTGGCTTGTTTCTTCTTGTCAGTACATGAAGTGACTGGATCTTTGTGCTGTTTACGGTATTTCTTTTAGGCCCAATTCACACTAATGTGGTGACTGGACTGTAAAATGCAGGTCACTGTAAGAACACACAGAAAACAATTGTTTCTATGTATCCTATCACACTGAACCACAGGTCAGAGCTGCTTTGCTGTGATCTGCAATAAAATGTGGATATGCTACATCTTATAGCTGCGCACTGGACAGAATTGCATGTCACTGTACAGCTGCTGTACAGCGACTTGAATGAAGTGTCATTTTTGTGCACTTGGAAGTTTGCACCCAAAAAAATGTAAAATATGGAGCTGTGTGATTAGCTGAACCGCACACCACACTGCCCCCTATTGCCGGATCATTGCAGCCAGAACAGACAGCTGCCGCACAGTAAAATCTCTGTGGTTTCACTGTGTGGCAGATTATTATTGTTATTATACAGGATTTATATAGCGCCAGCAGGGAGACAATACAATTACAATACATTTCAGTACAGAAGGAATAGGAGGGCCCGGCTCGTGGAGCTTACAATCTAAAGGAATGTCCATTAATGCCCCTTAAACTCCAGTGCCTGTTGTACAAGGACTGCAAGAGGCTGGCTTATACCATGTCATATCCAGATACCTAAATTACTTGCATTTGAAAAATACATGTTATATACATAAAAAAGATATAATATATTATATTTATATCTTAGACTGTAAGATCCAAGGAGCAGGGCCCTCCTAACCCTCTTATATTGAACTGTATCGTTGCTCTATTGTCTCCCATTATATTGTACAGCGCTGAGCAAACTGTTGGCGCTATATAAATCCTGTATAATAATAATAATAATAAAAAAAATAATACCCATATTTTATCTAGTAGTCAGACCTCATCATTATATATTTGTGTACAATAGCTGACTGATGCTCAGAACAAGCTTTGCTGTTGGAGCCTGCTGCTGGGTGAAAAGAATGAGTGCTGACAGACAGAACACTAAAAGGTACAAGACAGGCATTTTATTGTTTTATGCTATAAACTTGCTGTACAAAGCCCTCCTGCAATAGATACGTAGTTACATAGTGTATAGTTACATAGTTAGTCTGGCTGAAAAAAGACAAAAGCCCATCCAGTTCAACCATTAAAAAAAAAAAAAATTTATAATCCTACACCCCTGCAGGGAAAAAAATTCCTTCCTGATCCCCCGAGACACAGTCGGATATTCCCTGGATCAACTTTACCTATAAATGTTATATCCAGTTATATTATGTGTATCTAGGAAAGAATCCAGGCATTTTTTTAAAGCAATCCACTAAGCTGGCCAGAACCAACTCTTGAGGGAGTCTAGTCCACATTTTCACAGCTCTCACTGTGAAGAAACCTTTCCGTGTTTGTAGATGAAATTTATTTTCCTCCAGACATGAAGAGTGCCCCCTTGTCCTCTGTGATGACCTCAGGGAGAATAACTCTACACCGAGTTCACTATATGAACCACTGATGTATTTATACATGGAGATCATATCCCCCCCTTATGTATTATACATGGAGATCATATCCCCCCTTAAGTATTTGTACATGGAGATCATATCCCCCTTATGTATTATACATGGTGATCATATCCCCCCTTATGTATTATACATGTTGATCATATCCCCCCTTATGTATTTATACATGGAGATCATATCTCCATTTATGTATTATACATGGAGATCATATCCCCCCTTATGTATTATACATGGAGATCATATCCCCCCTTATGTATTATACATGGTGATCATATCCCCCCTTATGTATTATACATGGAGCTCATATCCCCCTTATGTATTATACATGGTGATCATATCCCCCTTATGTATTATACATGTTGATCATATCCCCCCTTATGTATTATACATGGTGATCATAACCCCCCTTATGTATTATACATGGAGATCATATCCCCCTTATGTATTATACTGTACATGGTGATCATATCCCCCCTTATGTATTATACATGGAGATCATATCCCCCCTTATGTATTATACATGGAGATCATATCCCCCCTTATATATTATACATGGAGATCATATCCCCCCTTATGTATTATACATGGAGATCATATCCCCCTTTATGTATTATACAGGGAGATCATTTCCCCCTTATGTATTATACATGTTGATCATATCCCCCCTTATGTATTATACATGGAGATCATATCCCCCCTTTATGTATTATACATGGTGATCATAACCCCCTTATGTATTATACTGTACATGGTGATCATATCCCCCCTTATGTATTATACATGGAGATCATATCCCCCCTTATGTATTATACATGGAGATCATATCCCCCCTTATATATTAAACATGGTAATCATATCCCCCCCTTATGTATTATACATGGTGATTATATCCCCCTTATGTATTATACATGGAGATCATATCCTCCCTTATATATTATACATGGTAATCATATCCCCCCTTATGTATTATACATGGTGATTATATCCCCCTTATGTATTATACATGGAGATCATACCCCCCCCCTTATGTATTATACATGGAGATCATATCCCCCCTTATGTATTATACATGGTGATGATATCCCCCTTATGTATTATACATGGAGATCATATCCCCCCTTATGTATTATACATGGAGATCATATCCCCCTTATGTATTATACATGGAGATCATATCCCCCCTTATGTATTATACATGGGGATCATACCCCCCCTTATGTATTATACATGGTGATCATATCCCCCCTTATGTATTATACATGGAGATCATATCCCCCTTATGTATTATACATGGAGATCATATCCCACCTTATGTATTATACATGGAGATCATATCCCCCCTCATGTATTATACATGGAGATCATATCCCCCCTTATGTATTATACATGGAGATCATATCCCCCCTTATGTATTATACATGAAGATCATACCCCCCCTTATGTACTATACATGGAGATCATATCCCCCTTATGTATTATACATGGAGATCATATCCCCCCTTATGTATTATACATGGAGATCATATCCCCCCTTATGTATTATACATGGAGATCATATCCCCCCTTATGTATTATACATGGAGATCATATCCCCCTTATGTATTATACATGGTGATCATATCCCCCCTTATGTATTATACATGGTGATCATATCCCCCTTATGTATTATACATGGAGATCATATCCCCCCTTATGTATTATACATGGAGATAATATCCCCCTTATGTATTATACATGGTGATCATATCCCCCTTATGTATTATACATGGTGATCATATCCCCCTTATGTATTATACATGGTGATCATATCCCCCTTATGTATTATACATGGTGATCATATCCCCCCTTATGTATTATACATGGAGATCATATCCCCGCCTTATGTATTATACATGGAGATCATATCCCCCCTTATGTATTATACATGGAGATCATATCCCCCCTTAATCTCCTCTTCTCAATAGAGAATAAATTCAGTTCCTCTAATCTTTCCTCATAGCTGAGCTCCTCCATGCCTCTTATCGATTTGGTTGCCCTTCTCTGTACTTTCTTCAGTTCCCCAATGTTCTTTTTGTGAATTTGTGCCCAAAACTGAACTGCATATTCCAGATGAGGTCTTACTAATGATTTGTATCGGGGGAAATGATAACTCTATCTGGAGTCTATACCTCTCCTAATACAAGAGAGGATTTTGCTCACTTTAGAAACCACAGCTTGGCATTGCATGCCATTATTAAGCTTATAATCTACCAGAACCCCCAGATCCTTCTCCACCATTGACTCCCCCAGTTTTACCCCCCCTAGTATGTATGATGCATGCATATTCTTAGCCCTCAAAAGCAGAACCTTACATTTATCAACATTAAACCTCATTTGCCACATAGTTGCCCAATTACACAGAGCATTGAGGTTGGCTTGTAAATTGAAGACATCCCTAATCCCTCCTGGAAGGGGAAGAAGCTTTCCCTTTGCTCTTGTCCCCAGACATTGTCCACCTTTGAGTTCAAGATTAACATGCCCTTGACTCCAAGATGGTCAAATCGAGGATTAAAGTGTAGCACAAAATTCTTCCCATCTGTTCCCAAGTTTATGGCAAACACTTTACAATCTTCTGGAATGAAGCCTTCCACCTCCACGGAGTGACCAGGTGATCAGGTTTGAGGCCAAGGTTATATAAGGAAAAAATATTATCTGCCATCCTGCTTCCTTATCAGAGACAGTTGATGAAAATTGTGTTTGCCTGGCCTGCTCCTGGGTTGCATGCATGGTTTACCATTGCCAGTACCAGTTGAGCCTCACCCCCTTACAATATATATTATGGAAACAAGCGTTTTTCAAACAAAAGTAACTTCACTTTTGTGATAATTAATACAACTTTTGCTTTTGTTGCATTAGCAGATTAATGTTAATAAAAATCACCTTTGCATTTTAATTGGCTGGTAAAAGGAGGGCGCTACAAAAGAAGTAGACCTTACATTTTCATGCAAGGTCCACTTTAGGAAGTTGTACTCTAGAAAATAAGGACAAATCTTAGCACTATATATATTGGTATAAAACAGGGTTTTGTATGGTACTGTTCTGTACATTTAACAATGATTGTTCACGACCTTGACAGTTTACATAACATAGTCCATCCATAGCCAAACACATCCAAATGCTTGTTTTTTTCTATGAAAATGACAATTTTCTCTAACAATCACCCTTGAGATGTACAAATAAACACTCTGAAAAGACAGAATAATGGAAGCGGATTTCTTTTGTATTGGAGCATTCATGAGAAGAGCTATACTTAAAGCAGAACTGCAGGCAGATGCATATTGTAATCAATTAAAACATCCCTAGCATAATAGTCCTTTGAAAAAACACTTAAGTTTATTTTTATGGCAGGAGAGGAACCAACTTTTCAAACACAATATTGTACCTCTGATATTTCTTCATCTGTACTGTGACAACTACGTCTACAGGCTCCAACCAATGTACACCCTGCTTTGTTTACCATCAGTCTGATTGAGTCTGTACTATACATGCAGACAGGGACTGAGAAGGAAGGGGTCTGCTAAAGGTATCATTTGATTTAAAATGTCCACTATTGCAACCAAATTTGGATAACACCTACTTTATATTTGTTACATGTTTCCATTAACATAGCATACCTTAAAATAGTATTAAACCCCCAGCATATCTTGCAGTTTTGAACTTCCAATGCTGCTGGCACCTGCTTTCTCAGTGCTGCTTCTCTGAGCTTCTGGTCTTCACAGGAAAGAGAATGGGAAGGCGGTGCAAAAGAGACAGGGGCCTTGCTATCCTAGGCAATGAGGCTGTGTGTTTCTATTGATGCACACAGTGTAAGGAGATACCCCATATTGAAGAAAAATATATTTGAAATATATTTTAAAAATATTCTTCCCAAATATATTGACATATATTTGAAATGCTACAATTTTTACCATATTCAATATATTTAAAAAATAAATAAATTATATATATATATATATATATATATATGTGTGTGTGTATATATATATATATATATATATATATATTTCTTTTATACATATATCTATACACACACATATATATATATATTTATTTATTTTTTAAAATATATTGAATATGGCCACAAATTTTCTTCCATATGGGGGTATATATATATATATAGATATATATATATATACTGCATTTTGAAATGTGTTTTTTATATATTACAAAATATATGAAAAATATTTTTCATAATATATCTTTTTTAAATATATTCTTCAGATTTTTTTTAACATATAAGAAAGTCAGTTTAACATCTAGTTTTACATATATTTGTAAATGCATTCGAAAAATGTAGAGTTGTATTTGTAAAGACATACAGTATATTTGAAATGTATTTTAAAAAATATTTTTCATATATTTTGTAATAAAAACGCATTTCAACATGCAGTATATATATATATATATATATTTCAAATATATTGAATATGGCCAAAATTGTAGCATTTCAAATGTATACCAATATACTTGGGAAGAATATTTTATGTTTCAAATATATTTTTCTTCCATATGGGGTATCTCATATATACAGTTGTGTCCAAAATTATTCAACCCCCAATGCTGTAAAGGGGTTTAGGGACTATAGTGTACATTTGGAATTGTATTCAGAATCAAATCCTACAAGGACGTTGTAACTACCCAAATGCAACTAAAATGACATCAATTGTTTATGTAATACAGTAGTAAATGGTTCTTATGTGGTTTCTTCATTGCCACAATTATTCAACCCCTTAAAGACTACCACTCTGAAGAACAGAGGTTCATACAGGTGCTTTCCATCAGGTATTGAAAACACCTGTGGATGTCACCGAGCAGCAATCAAGCATAATAAGCACCAATTAGGCAGCTTTAAAATGACTGTGATACTCAGCTCCTTCTAGACATTTACTGGTGTGGTTACAAACATGGTGAAGGCAAGAGAATGGTCCAGGAAGACAAGAGAAGAGGTGATTTCTCTTCACAGGAAGGGCAATGGCTATAAGAAGATTGCAAAGATGTTAAACATACCAAGAGACACCTTAGGAAGCATCATTCGCAAATTCAAGGCAAAGGGCACTGTTGAAACGCTACCTGGTCGTGGCAGAAAGAAGATGCTGACTTCGACTGCTGTGCGCTACCTGAAGCGTAGAGTGGAGAGAAGTCCCCGTGTGACTGCTGAGGAACTGAGAAAAGATTTGTCAGATGTGGGTACAGAAGTTTCAGCCCAGACAATAAGACGCACACTGCGTAATGAAGGCCTCCGTGCCAGAACTCCCAGGCGTACCCCCTTGCTGTCTCCAAAGAATAAGAAGAGTCGACTGCAGTATGCCAAAAGCCATGTGGACAAACCACAAAAGTTGTGGGATAGTGTTCTGTGGACTGATGAAACAAAATTAGAACTGTTTGGGCCCATGGATCAACGCTATGTTTGGAGGAGGAAGAACAAGGCCTATGATGAAAAGAACACCTTGCCTACTGTGAAGCATGGTGGAGGGTCAATCATGCTTTGGGGCTGTTTTGCTTCTGCAGGTACAGGGAAGCTTCAGCGTGTGCAAGGTACCATGAATTCTCTTCAGTACCAGGAGATATTGGATGGAAACGTGATGCAGTCCGTCACACACCTGAGGCTTGGGAGACGTTGGACCTTTCAACAGGACAATGATCCCAAGCATACCTCCAAGTCCACTAGAGCATGGTTGCAGAGGAAAGGCTGGAACATTTTGGAGTGGCCATCGCAGTCACCAGACTTAAATCCGATTGAGAACCTCTGGTGGGACTTAAAGAAAGCAGTTGCAGTGCGCAAGCCTAAGAATGTGACTGAACTGGAGGCCTTTGCCCATGAAGAATGGGCGAAGATACCCGTAGATCGCTGCAAGACACTTGTGTCAAGCTATGCTTCACGTTTAAAAGCTGTTATAACTGTAAAAGGATGCTGTACTAAGTACTAAGATTGAATGTCACTTGGGGGTTGAATAAAACTGATAATGCTGTGAGCACAGAAAAGACATTTGTGGTTATTTCATTATAACTGTTATGTTATATTTGTCTGACCTACAAGTGCCTCTTTAATGTAAATGTAAGCAAGATGACTGAATGATCAAAAGCAATGTCAAACTGGCCAAAACACACTCAATTTCAGTGGGGGTTGAATAATTTTGGACACAACTGTATATATATATATATATATATATATATATATATATATATATATACATACTGCATGTTGAAATGCATTTTTTTTTATATATTATAAAATATATGAAAAATATTTTTGATAATATATTTGTTTTTTCAATATATACTGATCAGATTTTTTTTTTAACATATAAGAAAGTAATTTTAACATATAATTTTACATATATTTGTAAATGCATTCCAAAAATGTAGATTTGTACTTTTAAAGACATACAGTATATTTGAAATTTATTTTTAAAAATATTTTTCATATATTTTGTAAGAAAAACACATTTCAACATGCAGTATATATATACTGTATATATATATATATATATATATATATATATATATATATATATATTTATTTATTTTGAAATATATTTTGAAATATATTGAACATGGCCAAAATTGTAGCATTTCAAATATATGTCAATATATTTGGGAGGAAGGAGCCATCCTGAAAAAGGAAACCTGAGGCAGAGATCATGGCACCAGCTTAGGCCCCATTCACACTTCAAATGGGGCCGTTATCAATTATATGCGGGATACCCAATGTACTTAACTTGCTGGCAACTAGCTGTAATGAAAGCAATAGGAGGCTGACAGCTCCTGCAACTTATTGCGGCTGCTCACATGTAATCGCTAAAGTGTTAATGAAGCCATAAACAGGAACATAGGCAAGAATTTAAAGATAAAGAAGTTGCATACTCAGTAAGTGAATAACTTAGCTGCTGAAAATTCTGCTGGAGAGCTTTGCTAATTTTTTTTTTTTTTTTAGATTTTTGCCAACATATGCACTTAAATAATATGATACAGACAGAGGAGTTAGTAAATCATTATGGAACCTAATGCAGAGGATCTTTGATTCTTTAGGGTCTTGCATGGGCAGTAGTGAAGGTGAATAGGTTTTGACTCGTCTTTTTGCTACGTTTATGGTAGTATCTAAGTACTTGACTCTGTCTCTGAGTTGGTGGGGTGCAGCTGGAGGTCTGCTTTACGGGTCATAGGTATAAGACACCAGTATACATTCAGTCTGTTGTTGGTTTTTTGTTATACATAATTGGGATTTATATTGGTTTTTTATATTTTGTTAAATAAAGTGGCTGCTGTCGCCGGGATCCAATTGGTGTTGGTGTGCTTTATTTGGTACCATGGTTTGGTGGAGGGGTGGCCAGACAGCTTGGAACAAAAAACTTAATCTTTTTCTACTTTAGGCATGAAAATCACTCTCAGTTTGTTATTGCTGTCTATGACTACATAGAGAGGGTTTATCTTTACTTCTGTTGTGTGGACTGAAAGTGCAGGAAAACCTTTTACATGAATAAAATCCTGAGGGACGTTCTAAGCCAGCTCTACTCTATACACAAAAACAGGCTAGACATCCATGTTAAAGCTGGACTTCATGCAGATATCAAAGGCACACGTTAACTCAGCACTGTATTCTTAAATTTACTTT